GGCTGCAGCAAGGACACCTCTGGCTCCCACACATCCAAGCTCAGGTCTCTCAATGTCATTCCCATCAGCCAACCTCATCTCTTCAGCCAGAGCCTACAGGTACCAAGAAGGACCTAAGGTGATGCCCCTGTGGGAAATGAGCTTGCTTATACCCATTAGTCCCAAATGAAAACAGTGCTTGGCAAGCATTTAAGCCAGAAGACCAGGAATCCTTAAAAACAACTAAAGGCAGTTGAGGACCTCTAGCTCCACTGCCTAAGATGAACCTGGGCATGGGGCACATCATGGGGGTAAACACGACACAGTGCCAGTAAAGGGTACCAGGTCACCCAGAGCAACACTAATCCCAGACAGAGTCATGGAAGAGTTGATAAAGGATTTAGGGAACAGAGCTTAATTACAAGTCCTGCTGTAATCTCAGTCAAGAGCTGCTTAGTAGAAATGCTACCCCATTAAATGTGCTTAAATTTCATTCTTGGGTCAAACAACAGTGTAATCTCTCTGAACACACATCATTAGAAGATATTAAACTCCTATTAAATATATAACAGCATATAAAAGCACAGGGCGATTAATTGCTGAGATACCACATTTCTAAAGGGGCGCAGGTAATTCCCAGTGTAACTGGCTGTGACTAAGGAACAATCCAGAAAGCAGATATATATCAAAGGAAGAGAAGGGAAAACCAACAAGCCTGATGGTACAATGTGCAGATGACACAAACGCTGGCAGGGCAACCACCATGAAATCACGCAGCCACAGAGAACAACCACTTGGAAACCTTGATGCTCCCCAGCAACTCGCACCACAGGAGAGCCAGGCATGAAGGTAGAGATGCAGCGACGAGGAGCACGATGCAGGGCTCCCGAGAAAACAACTCTGCATTAAGCAGTAATTCCTGTTAAAGCACTGAGGGAATGAGAGCTTCAATCTCAGCGTGCAGCAGGAGACTACTCCAGTATCGGCGTAATTGTATCTGCTGCTGGAGTGGGGAGGAGACACAGGAATACTGTAACTACATCTGCGTGGCCAGACTGATGGAGTTACAGTTTTTAGCTTATCAAATGCTGCTTAAAAGCCCTTCAGTGACTTCAAAAGGCTGCAAATGCAGCTTGAGAGCAGGAAGAGGGTTTTCAAGAGCGACAGGCTTGCAGAGCTCGAGCTGTAAAACCAAAGCAGGATTACTAAGTGACTTGAAAATAGAAGCTGGTATTTTAACGGTGAGAAGTCACCCGGTATTAAAGGATGCTGCATGGGAAAGGCCAGCAAAACATCCCCAACCAAAACCAAGAACTGCTTCTAAATGAACAGCAACTCGGGTAATCACACAGATTCATCCTTAGATGACAGGCTGAGCACAGGGAGAAGCAGCTGTAGTTATACAGCCCACATTTATGGGGTTTCACACAAGATAACCTCACTGCTTCTCCTTTATTCTGTGCCACTTGGAGTCAATCATTGGTAACCCAGTAGGGCACAAAACATGGGATATTCTATACAAAGAGCTATGGAAGAAGTTAAAGGGAGAAAAGCAAATCAGAGAAGAAAAACAGCCTCAGAAAGGCAATAAAGCAATCGCTACATAGCCAAAGTGATATATACTCATGTGTTTCAGTGCTCAGCAAATGCTGGGTGAGGGATCACCCTTATCTCCAAGAGTAACCTTGATTAGAGACCGCAGAGGATGAATGCATCTTCCGTGGTTTCTAACCCATCCATCCTCACAGTGGCCATCGCTTCCCATCACTAAAGAGGAGTTGAAGTGGGCAGAAAGTTCCTCAAACAGCAAAACTGGATCAGTCAATCAGGGGCAGTAAAAACCAGTGCACTCGGGTGTCACAGCTCAGCCAGGAGGTGGTTTTGAGCAAGAAAGAGGTTTTCTCTTCCCCTAGGACGTTATCTGATCCTGCAGAATTAAGTGATTCTTAGAAGCCTAGATACAGAGAGGAGAGCCAAAAATACTCTGCAAAACCAAGCAGCGTAACACAAGAGGAAAAAGAGGAATTAGAACAGCAGAAGGAAGTGGAATTCGGAGCAATGGATATAATTAGGAGAGGCTGAATAGCAGGAAAGACATCCTGAAGTGGATTATTTTGACTCCAGGAGCATCGCGGACTCAAGGGGATCCCCACAAAGACTCACTTAACTTGCTCAGTGTCCTTCAAACACGGTGACATTCCCTGGTAGATATAACAGAGAAAATAAGAGACTGGGCTGGCCTCAGAGCCACGAGCATAGCAGGACATGAGCCCAGCACAGCTCATCACACCGACAGAGGCTGTTGCAACACTTCCTCACACACCCTCATCTCCTATTTTATATTTAGGGTGAAATTCCTTTCCATGAGGGCCAGGCTTCATCCCACATCTGTCCAGCACCCAGCACAATGGAGTCCCAGCCGCTGACTCCCAGAATCACAGCAAGAACAGAGCAGAAAAATCGGGACTTGAAGAAGGCATCTCAGCCTTCCCCTGCCCCAGGGCAAGAATTACTACACTTGCTATTTGTCTAGCAGAAAACGCTCTCCCTGATGGGTGGAACACAAACCCACCCAGACAGATGAATGAGCTGGACCTTAAATTTAACATCTTAACCCCTCCATCGCCCTCTGATAATAGCAATTCATAGAACCCCAGACTGGTTCAGGTTGGAAGGGATCCAGCTCCAACCCATGCCACAGGCAGGGACACCTTCCACTAGAGCAGCTTGCTGCAAGCCCCATCCAACCTGGCCTTGAACACTGCCAGGGATGGTGCAGCCACAGCTTCTCAGAGCTAAGCCAGCCTTGAGCACTGCACCAGGACACCACGGAGCTGGAATATCTCCCTCTGCAATCAGGAACTGATAAAAGTGTGATTCTGTGAACAAACCCAGGCTGGCAGCAGGGGCCCACAGCCCTGCCTGTTTGTGAGCCACGCTTTGGGACTGCTGCTCCTCGAAGGGAAGCCAGCCCCTGGCTCCTGGAGACACACTCCTTCCATGATGCTATAACAAGTGAGTCACCCTTTTATGAAGTTTCCTTCATCCTCTTTTCCAGCACATCGTGTTTCCCCTGAGCTGGGCTAGTTTCCACTCTGAAAGCGCTTGGAGCAGGTATTGCTTATGCCTATATCAATAATAACACTCCTGATGAAGTACCACTCACTGACAGCCAAGCACAATCCTTTCTCCGTCTCAAACTGTTATTAAGGTGGGTATGCAGACAGACATTAAGCCAAGCTCCCCATTTAACCTTAATACTAAGGAACAAGATCAACTGCACTCGGTTCTGTGAAATGGAAAAAACACCACCCACACTCTTCATCCTGGCAGTTCCCAGACATTGGAACCAGTTGTTTCAGTTTTAATAAATCCCATTCTCATACAATTTACCTTTAAAGCTTTCATGGGAGAACTCCAGAAAGAAAACTGCAAGAAGTCAGGAAACCTAAACAAATGGGCAACCTATAGCAAGATAAATCCAGTGCCCCGTTGTTCCACACACGAAAAGCTTTCCCTTCCACTGCAGTATCAGTGTGAGTCAAACAGCTTTTTAAAGCCATGCGACTCATTTCAAACCATGACTTTGTAAAACTTGGTTACTGAAAAGAAGCCAAAGGGCTGCAGCAGATGGGGTGGGAAGGGAGCTCTCCAAGGCTGTTTATAGGGAAACAATCCCACCTGGTACTGAGATTTCCAGTCGAGCAGCTCCTAGGCTGATGCAGAGCAGCTGAGAGAGGAAGGCGAAAGCAACAGCACTGCCAAAGGACTGAGTGACAAAGCTTAGCACCAGGTTTTAAGCTTGCAGTAATGCAGGTATTTAGATTCTGAAGCCAAGGACCACAAATCCACCTTTCCCCACTCACAGCCCAATAAATTTAGCTACCATGAGCTGTAAATAACCTCAACCCATTTCTATCAGCAACCTTCCAGAGGATAACACACACACACGTGCTCAGTACTCAGAGTAACACACACTGGTTTTGATGTAAAGCTCTTTGGAGAACTTCTGCTTTACTTTAAAGAGGGGGAAGGAGGGATGAGGTGTCTCCGTTTGCCAAAGTCATTATGTAGCATCACTGTACAGGCAGGAGCCAACACTACAGAGTCTGGCTAGCAGGACCACATCTTAGATCACAGTATCAGAAGCACAGAATGGTTTGGGTTGGAAGGGACCTCAAAGCTCATCCCGTTCCAAGCCCTGCCACAGGCAGGGCCACCTTCCACTGGAGCAGGTTGCTCAAGCATGAGCAATACTTGTAGATAGCTGTGCATAACTTACCTAAAACAACTCATTTGATGAGAAATGAGGTGATTGCTCATGAGGCACTGGCTTCACTTACACAGCCCGATTACCACAGAAGCAGCAGGAAAGCCATCCTGAAGTGGATGTGTGCAGCAAAACCCTAACCAGCATCACAAAGAAACACCTAAGAAGGCTGAGACACCAGACCCAGGCACGCTGAAAAGAGCCGAAGGCAAAGGGAAGGGGCAGCGCTCCCGGGCAGCAGCTCCATCCATCCCTCTGCACCCTGGGGCAGGAGCTCGGCACTTCACACGGGTGAAGCAGCCGGTTCTCCCGGCTGAAGGATACTGCAAGAACCACTGGGAAATAGATGCTCAATAGGAGAACAAAGGCTCCATTAAGCAAACAGAGGCATTAACTCATATCAACGTCAGGATGATAACTGTCCCCATACCCGCAGCTTCACAATTAACCACGGTATTTGCGAGACTGACAAGAAACTGACGGGCTGCAGCGATAACGGCGCCAGATTAAGCGTTATGGGCTGGAAAACGCCCTCCTTCCCCTCCTGCACCAGCACCGAGGGGCACCGCGAACCGGCCCCGCAGCGACCCAGGCCAAGGGCGGCAGCTTCCAGCCGCCGGGCGCCGGCCGGGGCGGGCCGGGGGCTGCGGGCGCTCCGCAGGGACGGGTGTTGGATACAGCCATTAAACCGCCCTCATTCCCCCCCGTGCTCCTGCGGAGGAGCGGCAGAGAGCCCTGCCCGAGCCCGCACCTGAGCGTGGGGCCGATGCAGGCCGTGTCGGTGCTCTCGATCTCCCGCAGGATCCGCTCGTGCTCCGCCGCCGTCTCCAGGCTCTCCAGCTCCGCCATCTTCCCCCGCTCCATGGGGCTGCGCCCGCCGGGCCGGCCACACCTGCCCCCTCCCTCCCGCCCCGGGCAGCGGCAGCACCAGCGCCGGGGCCGCCCGCGCTGCTCCGCTCCGCTCGGCTCCGTGCGCGCCGGGCACGCCGGGAAATGTAGTGCGGGCCGGGGAGGGGGGGCCGCGGCCTGCGCCGGCGCTGCCAGAGCCGGCACCGAGGGGCGGGAGCGGCCGCCCGGGGCGGTGTCAGCGGCTCCGGGCAGGCGGAGGGGCCGGAGCGGAGCGGGCGCTGCCCGCGGGGAGGAGCGAGGCGGGGAAGCGGCTGCTGGCAACCCCCCGGGGGCACGGCCCCTTGGCCGGAGCCGTGCGTGACCCATGAGGGGCACAGCCCGTGGCACCCATCACGGGGAGACACAGCCCCATGGCAGGGACCTCTGTGTCCTTCTCCCATTGAGGGGCGCAGAGCCGTGGCCGTGCCACGCAGCATGGGGAGACGCAGGCACGGTGGCAGCAGCATCCCCTCTGAGAGGACGCAGCCCCGTGGCTGCAGCATCCCCTCCGAGCGGGCACAGCCCCGTGGCTGCAGCATCCCCTCTGAGCGGGCACAGCCCCGTGGCTGCAGCATCCCCTCCGAGCGGGCACAGCCCTGGGGCAGGATCCGCATGTGTCCCGTAAAGGGACAGAGCGCCATGGCCATGACATCCACCGCGAGGAGATGCAGCCATCACGCTTCAGCATCCCTCCCGAAGGGGCACAGCCCCATGGCCGGATCCTGCGTCCTCCCCTATGAAGGGGCACAGCCCCATGGCCGGATCCTGCGTTCTCCCCTATGAAGGGGCACAGACCCATGGCTGGATCCTGCGTTCTCCCCTATGAAGGGGCACAGCCCCACGGCCGGATCCTGCGTCCTCCCCTATGAAAGGGCACAGACCCATGGCTGGATCCTGCGTCCTCCCCTATGAAGGGGCACAGCCCCATGGTCAGATACTGCGTCCTCCCCTATGAAGGGGCACAGCCCCATGACCGGATCGTGCATCCTCCCCTATGAAGGGGCACAGCCGCATGGCCGGATCCTGCGTCCTCCCCTATGAAGTGGCACAGCCCCATGGCCAGATCCTGCATCCTCCCCTATGAAGGGGCACAGCCTCATGGCCGGATCCTGCATCCTCCCCTATGAAGGGGCACAGCCCCATGGCCAGATCCTGTGTCCTCCCCTATGAAGGGGCACAGCCCCATGGCCGGATCCTGTGTCCTCCCCTATGAAGGGGCACAGCCCCATGGCCGGATCCTGCATCCTCCCCTATGAAGGGGCACAGACCCATGGCTGGATCCTGCGTCCTCCCCTATGAAGTGGCACAGCCCCATGGCCGGATCCTGCGTTCTCCCCTATGAAGGGGCACAGCCCCATGGCCGGATCCTGCATCCTCCCCTATGAAGGGGCACAGCCCCACGGCCGGATCCTGCATCCTCCCCTATGAAGGGGCACAGCCCCATGGCCGGATCCTGCATCCTCCCCTATGAAGGGGCACAGCCCCATGGCCGGATCCTGCGTTCTCCCCTGTGAAGGGGCACAGCCCCATGACCGGATCCTGCATCCTCCCTTATGAACAGGCACATGAAACCGACCATGGGGAGACTCAGCCTCCAAGGCAGTGACACCCGCCAGGAGGGGGGATGCCCCCTTGTCCGTGACACCTCCCTCTGGGGCACAGCCCTATGGTAGCATCCCTGTGTCCCCTTTAGGGAGATGCAGCCCCGGCGCAAGGACTTCATGTGCCCCATGAAGGGACACAGCCCCACGGCAGCAACACCCCCCTTGAGGGATCACAGCCCCGAGCAGAGGCGTTCCCTTATCTTGTGAGGGATGAAGCTCAGCTCCCCCTGCCCCATCCTGTCCCTCAGCTCCATAAAGGATGTCACCCCCCTGAAAAGCTGCCATTGACTGTGCTCCCAAAGAAAGCTCCGCACTGACACCAAACCCCTTCCAGCTTGATCCTAAAACATCCCAGCAGCTCCTGAGCTACAGTGTCCCATCCAAAAGCTGCATGACCCAAGAGGCATCTTCAGCCAAGGGCACAGCAGAGCTTCCCCCGGAAAACACCAGGAGCCCCCAGAAACCCCCGTGGGTGTCAAGGTCTCCTCAAGGTTTAACGCTGCAGCTCCCTCCTTTGGAAGCAGCTCTTTGTTACTGTGATGACTGTGTTGCAAGCATCCCATTCCCAGGCACACGTTATCAGGTGCAGCGGAGCCGTCCTTGGGCAGGAATTCCATGCTCTGCCAGGGGCACAGTGGGGATGAAAAGCAGGACCAAGGGCAGGCTATGCAGGCCACTGAGGGTTTGCCTTTGTTTTATCTTCAGAGATATAAATAAACTACGCTTATTGTATGAGGACCTCTGGCTTCTCTCACTAAGGCTGAACGCTGCTGGCCTGAATACCCCTGTATCAATGCTAATTTAAATGGGAAGGGGATAAAAGAACATCCCGAATGCACCACGACTGGAACAACACAGGAGGGGCAAGGAGAGCCTGGTGGGAGCCTCAGTGGTTCACGTGTAGTTCAGCAGCTCTTGCACATCAGCCTACGGTTGCCAAGCACGGTGCCGTGCGAGACCAGACGGATGTCACTTTGGATGCGTTGACACTGCAGTCACCATGGAGATGTGGTAGAAGCTTTCCGAGGACCGAGAAGCAAAGAGACACATCAGTGGTGGAAGGAAAGGGGATAAAGGAGCCGGGTGCTTTCTGAGCCCCGCAGCCTGATGCTGCCTTTGACTGGATGGGGCCGGAGCTGTATCGGGGGGAAGCACTGCACATTTGTGCCTGCCTTTGCCAACTGATGGAAGGAGTGATTTAAACATGTTGTGTACCTCAGACCGTTGAGATGAGCTACCTATGGCTATGGGAATACAGGATGCACTGGTTGGTGTGTGCTACATACCCAGCTCCGGTGTAAAACCTATAGGTACCACCATCTACCACTGTTAGCAGCTAAGAAGATGATGGTTTTGTTCAAGTTAGAGTTTGTGCTGTTGGGGACTGAGCCAATGTCCCTGGAGTAGGTAGTAACTACTGTGTGGGTTTTACTGAGCTTTGAAAACAGGGTTAAACAACAGTGTTCAAAGAGTGAGTGGCTGGTACCAATCCATAATGGGTTTAATGACAGAATGAATCACAGATCATAGAATGGTTTGGGTTGGAAAGGACATTAAAGATCACCTGGTTCCAACCATAGATCTCTTTTTACCCTTGCCTGGTAGAGTTTAGTCTGTTATCAAGTCTTTGGTGTTCACATCTAGTCCTGAGGTTTGGGATCACCCAATCTCTTCTTTGACCGGATGAACACATTGAGCTCTTGCAGCCTTTCACTCAAAGGCACATTTTACAGTAATTTCCTCATTTAAACTTTTTGGGGAGCAAAAGTCGACATATTTCAAGATTTCCCTTAACCTGTGGGTGCCAGAAGTGGCCGGAGCAGTGGCTCTTGTCACAAACACAAAGAGAGCATGATCCATCTGCTCCTCCTCAACACTGTGTTGGTGCCATCGCGGGTACCATTAGCCGTTTGCCACAGGGTCATGCTGAGGCTGATGTTCAGCCAATTACTCACCATCACCTTCAATCCCTTTCAGGTCACTGCCACCTGGGATAAACCTTTCCATTCTGTAAGAAAAGGCCCATTCTTTGTCCCTGGACACATGGCATTTGCTCACCATCACATGAATATTCATTGCTTGCGTCTGGCTTGCAGAGCAGCCTGGGACATGCCCTTATTATTTGCTGCCACACAAACTTGGTACCATTTGCAAGCCTGTCCTCAAGGAGTTTATTTATTCTTACCAGTCACTGCCATAAACATGCTGGATTTCTATTGTTGTCGTTTATTAATCATATCATCATGCAGAGCCAACACAAATGTGTCAAACACGTCTGTTACCAGCTCAGGATCTCATTGAAAGATCATATTGAGTTTGCCTGACAGAGCCTATTTCCCTGAAAACCATGCTGGCAACATTAACTCTGATGTTCCCTTAATGTCCTACTAATGAAGTTCTATATAATTGTTTTTGTGGGATTGATAACAGCCTGATGGGGCTTTAAACACTCCCCCTTTTCATTACTGACCTCTCCTTGGTGTTTTCCAGTCCTCCAGAACTTCCCTTGTGTTCCAAAACTTCCTAAAGAGATCGATGTAACAGGTCAGAAACCTTGAGCAGCCTTTGCACAGCCTCTTACCCAGGTTACCTGCATCTGCTGGTCCAAAAGTCATCATCACTGCCTACAAATCACTGTGGCACCCAGGATCTTCCCAAACTGAGGTCCGGTTGTAATTCTGCCATTTCACTGGAGCGATGCCATCAGAATTTCATAGGCTCATGGAATCCCAGCCTGGTTTGGGTTGGAAGGGACCTTAAAGCTCCTCCAGCTCCAACCCCTGTCATGGGCAGGGACCCCTTCCACTGGAGCAGCTTGCTCCAAGCCCCTGTGTCCAACCTGGCCTTGAGCACTGCCAGGGATGGGGCAGCCACAGCTTCTCTGGGCACCCTGTGCCAGCGCCTCAGCACCCTCACAGGGAAGAGCTTCTGCCTAAGAGCTCAGCTCAGTCTCCCCTCAGGCAGGTTCAAGCCATTCCCCTTGGCCTGGCCCTACAGGCCCTTGTCCCAAGCCCCTCTCCAGCTTTCCTGCAGCCCCTTTAGGCACTGGAGCTGCTCTAAGGTATCCCCTTCAGGAGCCTTCTCTCCTCTTCTGAACAAGCCTGGAGAAGAGAGTTCCTTTTCTCCTTAGAAAGCTCTTTCCTACTGTGCTCATTGTGCTTCCTCACGTCGTGGTCCTCCGTCACTAAACTCCCTTCTCTCTGCTGCTTCTTCCCTTCCAGTCGCCTCCACGCTCCTCTGACCGCACCTATGCTCAGGTAACACCAGGCAGGCGCGATGCCAGCGCTGCTCTTAGGTTTGGGCTCTGCGGTGTCATTCAGACAACATTTCACAGTGAAACAAGGGGATTGTCAAACAGATCCAGGGGTTAAACGTGGAAAGAAAGGAGCAAGCGAGGGCAGATGCTGTTGATCCTCCTGCGGGGACATGGGGGAATCTGAAGCAACCCCTCTAAGGAGGTCCCTTCTG